GGACGCCACTGGTAGATTTCCCTGGTCTTTGTGGGGTTGTGGGTGCTCCGACAATTTAGTTTGAGGGAATTTCAGGTTAAGTGGAATTCAGATGATGACTACCCTTTCCTCTGATAATCCCACATCGGCGTGCTAGTTTGATTAACCCAAGATCGTTCTCCATACGCTTGCCAGTTCCACGCCTTCTATTATGGCAACACTGGGATGCTTGGCGATTTCTACCGCCTCGGCTATCAGTCTCTGTGACGTGGACCGTTGTCCTCGCCTCAAAACCTCAACATTTTCTAAGTATATTTTGTGTCCCGTGTCCAGTGCGTGTTCCGCAAGTGCCGCGTTTTTCGGTAACGCTCGATATTGAATTCTCCGAATGGTCTCCAATGTCGCTGGTTTATATGGAATAACAGCGGTCCCGATCCATGCCCTGTTGGGTTTCGCTACCGGTACGAACGCTCTTCGCAACTGACACCTAATCAAGCCAGCTGGATATCCACTACACGGAAGTTTGTTCTTTACTTCAATTTGGGCCGCTGTCCGATCAGCTTCTTCTGTGCACAGGGCCCTTATACACGCTTAAACATTGACGAGGCAATACTAGCGAATACCGATTTCAGATGGGCAGACGAGTAGTTCAACACTGCCCCAGTATCAGTCAGCTTCTCGTATATTGTGATCTTTAGTTTCCCCCGACCTTATGTGACATACAGTCTAACGAGGCCAGTGTATTAGGGGTTGACTCCATCTCCGTACTAAATTTGATGCGTGGATCCACTTGATTCAAATGGTTATTGAACACAATGATCTTGTCTCGTTTCATGATGAAGATGTTATTCACATAAAAGCGTCGGTAGGTCTTGGGTGGGTACGGGAGTACGGATAAAACTTTCTCTTCAAACTCTTCCAATTGCCAAAACCGGGATAACTGTGGATCCTGTTGCTAAATCGTTTTCTTGAGTGTAAACTACGGAGTCAAAAATGAAGTAGGGAAGATTCAGCCTTGCTTTCATCTCTTCCACAATTTCCCTCACCGTATGCTCTGCGGGGTCTGAAACAGTTTTCTTCTGGAGCCAATCCCTTTTGGCACAATAATGAATTGATATCGAAATTTAAAAGAATTTAAAAGAATTTAAAAGAATTCAAAGGAATGGCACAAGGTAAGAACTATCAGGTGCTGCTCGCCTTCCAGGATGGGGATCCCCGTTGCACCTGGCTGGAGACGCTGCAAAAAATGGCTGCCAACCGACGCCAATGGCGTTCTTGTTGTCAGTTTCTATCCAGATTGCCTGAACAAATGTCTGGAGGTGTGCCAGACGAGCACCAAGTCCCTTCCATATCCACCTTTATTCTTTTCTTCACAATAAGGCTTTCAAATAAATGATGGTTAGGGGCAGCGAAGAATCGGTGTTGAACACTGATGTCATGCTGTCGGCAATGTTGATGATGGGTAGTGTGAACAGTGAGTTGGGGAGAAGTATGATAAGGCAATACGAACGACTTGTGATCGTGCGTTTTTCGAGATAATAGCGTCTCGCCCAACGATTCTGTCACATATACAGTAGTTCAGACTGCTATTTCCAGCTTTGCCAACTTGTGATCGATAACACAAGTGATCCATACACCGAAGTCACTCATTTCCTACTAACGTTTAGCATTTTTCTGTGAACACCACGGTCAGAAACATACAAATGTGAGCGGCAGTTGTGGAGGAATGCACAGGAGAACATTGAAAAGTGAGGAACTATCCATTCGCAGGTGCGCCAGAAATGGCTTTGCATTTAGGAGAAATGATCTCCAACGTATGTGAAAATGTTTGACATGGAAACATACGTGTAAAAAACATGAAAATGAGGAAGCGACAAACGATGTTTTAAACAGTCCAATTCGGGTTCAAGTATAACATAAGATGGACGAAAGCTCGGGGACTGCGCCTACCTGATGAGCCCCAATAAGGGCGAAACCGGTCGTGGGTTGTCGAGGCGTCTTCAGCAACCTTGTGAGTAGTTTCCTTTATGCTTAATACTCTTCAAGGTGCACTGGACGCTAGCACAATCAAGTTTGCGACAGAATCGGAGGTGAGAGTCATTGGTGAGAATGAACACTCAAATCCATGTCGTAAGTCCGCACAAAGCCCAGAATTGTGAGCAAACACGTAACTCATTATGGCCTTGGGAGATCCCAGTCCAAAAACAGCTTTAGTGGAAGGCGGATACCTCGGTGGGTAACGGTCACTGAATGAAAACCTTAACAGTACAGTCGATGTCTCGTGGGACGGAGATGGTGGCGGGGTGAGCAATCGTCAGCACTGTGTCAGCACTGTTTCTTCTCATTCCACACAAGTATTCCACGCCCATCCGAAGCTAAGTCTGCGCCTGCCACCGTTGTTCTGCCCTCCCGAATAACAGTTAACTCAATCTTGATGAAAGAGAATAGGTGCTCTTAACTCTTCAAAGACAGTGTATTTCAGCCGACTTGGGCTTCCTTCGAGTTCTCTTGCTACCCGATCATGACGAGCACATCGAACGTCAGACGCATCCAGTTCTCTGACTGACCAAATTTTACATGACAACGGAGTGTCTGGTCACCATGACCACATCAGGTGTTTTCAACTTCAGTCTTCAGCAGGTTGCATTGCAGCTGGATACCACGGATAGATACTCGAGTAAACACGCATCCAATAAGCAAGACACATCGAGTCGAGAGAGATGACGAAGCGATTAACTCTCACAAACTGTGACCCTCAACATTGTTGTTCAGACCATCGCCTCAAGCAACAAACATTTCTTTCTTGGTGTTCACCTTGGGTTCGGACCGGAAGGCTGGGGCAGGATCACTAAACACATTGCGTAGTACTCGGCACTGCTTTCCACACGAGATTTCCGCTGTTCGGATTGGGTGAACTCGGGCTTTAGATACTGGGCTCTCTTTGTTCATTTGCCTGCATGTAGCTGATGTAGCTGGATGTGTCCTTCGGTAGACGTAGCCAATCAGAGACATAATGTTCGATGGAATTTACAAGAATTCTGAGAGTGTTGTGGCGGACTTGGATGACCGAATGTATCAGCCTCGGTATTATCTGTAGTTCTTTCTGATCTCCATTTTCTGATCAACTTTCAATGGAGTATGCGTCAACTCATCGGGCGGCTTCAGCAGCTGCCTTCAATGGTGACATACACCTTCCCCCTTGAAAGTGGAGAGGACGCCCAAATATTTCATGGTTTCTGTCGAGCGCAGAAAAGTGATGAGTCTCTCAGTGAAGCAAAATGGTTCAGCTGAGATCGTGATTGCTCGATTTTTTGTCCCCGCAAATCCTTGGTTTGGTCCCTCGATCCTCCCCAAATCGACTTCATCAGCTTCAGGTTTGCTGAGCTGAATCGAAACCTGTGCTAACGACCCAATAGTCAGTGAAGGCGAAACTATCCAATTGTGTCGTGGATCTGATAGTCCAACTGCGGGTTCGACAATCCAATAACCCTATCCTTTGTTTTGATGAACAATATTGGGGATTATAGACCTCTCCACCTCATTGCTGTGCGTCAATGAACCTCCAAGTGTGACAAGTCCGCAGCTGCATTCTCATAGAACAATACGATATATCAAACTATGGGTGACGGTCAATTTGGTTTTCACGAGAGACTCACCCGAATCTCTTGTTTATGATATTCTACAACTGAATGTGCTTCACAAAGGCCGCCTCATGTTTCAGTTGGTACCCAGTATGAAGTCTTGTCTAGAAACCAGCTCATCACACTTCCGAGTGGACACTCCTGGCCGGGTAGTATACAACAACTGGAAGATCACGTATTCGAATCTGCCTGGAGATCCAAGAATTGAGTAGGTCTGGTTTCCAAGGTTACTTTAGGTGCCAACGATCGCAAGCAAATATTCAATATACTAAGAACCAGGATGCATGTGAGCTTATTCCCCCAAAAATCGGTAGTTATATAAATGTTTCTTTCTTTGAGTGTGGGACTGGTCTCGGCTGATAATCAGCATAATAAAAAAACCCGCCTACTTTAGATTGGTAATTAAATGAGTAAAAATTCCCTATGCAGACAAAACTACAAAATAACGCTAATCAAGTCATGGTTCAGTGAATTATTTTTCCCTCAGAAGGTAACTGTTTCCAGAAAAGGTCTCATTTTGATCTCCAAACGAACGAACTTCTTTAATTCACCATACATTCAGTCATCACCGCAATGCTACTGTGTATGAAATAAGTTGACTATTTTTCTGTTAGCATTCAAGTCCTCGCGATCGATTTGCAATGCGACTAGTGAATGCGAATGTTGGGATCGCAGCCCTGTGAATCGTGCCAACCACTAATTGCATATCCTAGCTGATTCAAGTGACGATGAGCGATGCACAAGTCAGTCATATTGCAGCCTGACATCTATAGTGCTTCAGAGAAGTTGCTTCAACTATGAAAATTTGGAACAATTCAGATATTGTACTGTAATATATGCAATTTATTGCAACTCCTGTTTCGCCAGAATTCTGACCTCTAATCAACCCTCAATGAGAGATCACCAAGGACTTGGAAGTTTGGATGGCTTGCCCTAGGCGGGGGAGGCTGAATCCTGGTTGAGTTGGAAAGCTGAAACAGAATTCGAGAAACGCACTCATTTGGAAATCAATTTGGTTTTCACGAGAGATTCAACTGAATCTTTCGTTTATGCTATTGTACAACTGAGGGTGCTGCACACAGGCCGCCTCATGTCTGAGTTGGTACGATATTCGAGATGTCGCAGTATATTTTCAAAGAAGAAACTACTCACAAGGTCGAAGAGTTTTCAGTAACCTTGTGAGTAGTTTCCTCTGTAACAGAATAACTTATGTTCGGAGGTCATTTGCCTGCATACACAAAGGCGTTTGTTTTTCCTGATGTGAACAACGACATCATGGGTGCCCTAGAAATCTGTAATCTCTCAAAAGAATCAAAGAAAGCTGAAGACAATAGTACTTCTGAAACCTTTGAGTGGATTTTACACTGTCTGTCACTTGCGATTTTAAGCATTCTGATGAAAACCTTCAAATTGTGGAAGTGTATACTCTCCTGCTTATCAGCAAAGTAGTTTTGGCGGTAGTTTCTCTGCTCCTTGATCCACAGGGTCATTTGGGCTCTTGTTCTTGAAAATGATTATGCCGTAATTCATAAACGTATTTTGTGTGAGTGACAGTCATTCCTCTGTCGAACCCAAGGCATATCACAGCTAATCACGGAGCAACCTCTTATCTCGTCCCATCAGCTACTTTACCACTCAAGATTGCATTTCAAAGAGACGGAATCGAAAACACATCGATATACGGCAACCACGGTATTGATGAATCGGAGGAATGCCTCCGAAACTGCATGAAATCATGAGTTTTGTCAGCTGGCACACGTTGTGAGCAACATGACCCGAAGGAATTAAGCTGAGCCGCGTCAGCTGAACACGACAGGTACATCACACAGTCTGTAAGCTAGTGTACACAACCACCTAGTGGTGAAGCTGCGAGTGACATTTGTTGTTGATAAATTTTTGTGCAAATTCTGTTCACGTTGGCCATGTTCTACCGCTGCAGCTTCTCTTACGCACTCATCAACAGTTGCTTCTGAGCGTGAATGTCATGCTTTCGCAATGAATGCATGGATGTGTTGAGCAAGTAGAGTGATATCGTTTCAGAAGAGCTTGGTAAACAATCGGTAGTTTTTTCATAAAGGAAACCACTCACAAAGTTGCTGAAAACTCTTCGACAACGCGCGACCGGTTTCGCCCTTCCAGTTCGGGCTCATCAGGTAGGCGCAGTCCCCGGGTTTCCGTCAACCTTATGTTCTACTTGAACCCAAATTGAACTGTTTTCGAGAAATACACTCATTTGCAAATCTATTTGGTTTTCACGGGAGACTCAGTTGATGAACCCCAAGAAGGGCGAAACCGGTCGTGGGCTGTCGAAGAGTTTTCAGCAACCTTTTGAATAGTTTCCTTTATGAAAATATACTGCGATATCTCGAATATAGTGCCAACTGAATCATGAGGCGGCCTGTGTGCAGCACATTCAGCTGGAGGACAGTATGAACGACAGATTCAATTGAGTCTCCCGTGAAAACCAAATTCATTTGCAAATGAGTGTATCGGTAGTTTTTATTTGGACAACGTGTCGCTTCTGACACAAAAGTTGCATCAGGCCAAGTGAACAGGTCACCAAATTGGCAAGGTTATAAGACAGACGGGGAACCAATCAGTAAGTCAGTCCTCTTCAGCTTATCACACTAGATCAGTGTTGAGTGTAAAGTACGGCTCTTGTCGGTTAGTGAAGTTGTCAAAATCTTGAATTGATGGGTTGGAGGAGTTTCAAATTAGTTCCGATCTCTTGTTGTTCCCCAATGTTCCACTCAGGGTGCTTCAATTGATAATTCACCTCGGGTGCCAATGGTAGAATTTTTCTTGATCTTCGTGGGCTTGTGAATGTTGCGACAATTTAGTTGGGGAGAGGGGAGGTGCGTAAGGCTGAGTGGAATCCAGATGCTGACTACCCTTCCCTCTGATAATCGCACACCAACACATGTCAGCACGACTGATCCAAAACCGTTCTCCACACGCTTGTCAGTTCCATGCCTTCTATTCTGTTAATACTGGGATGCTTGGCGATTTTTACCCCCTTGCTTATCGGTCTCTGTGATGTGGACCGTAGTCCCCGCCTCAAAACCTCAACATTTTCTAAGTCTATTTTGTGTCCCGTGTCCAGTGCGATTGCCGAGTCTTTTAATAACGCTTGATATTCATCTGCGTTTCTCGGCGGCCTGATTATTTTTCTACCATTCTCTCCGACTCTGATGTGTGGTTCTCTGGCCGTCTGTCCTATGGGAACCTTATGGTAGTCATTACACTTAATTTTGTAGACACAGTCCTTGGTTCTGTTTGCCGGGAGGTGATCCTTCAAATGCACCAGTGCAGAGCGCAGTGTTCCCCTTCTGGAATGCCGCTCTTGTGTTATTTTAGAGTGGAGTTATTTTCACACATTTTGTGGGAGTTTAGACCAATTACACCCCGATTACAACATTTCCTGATAGTCATGCTGATGGGAAACGAGCATGTTGAATCTGGGGTTTCAACTTCGATTTCCAAGTACTGCGAAATCAAGAAGCACTGTAGAGCTGGTGCATTCTTGTCGCGCATCAGCAGTACTCTGAACCTAAGAGAAATTCAAGAGAATCTACTAGAAGGGCTTCCAAGATTATCTGTGCTCTCGGAATCTGAAGTTTGCTTCATACTTCATTTTACCCCGGTGAAATGCACCACTATGTTAACTGCGTTCATTTTAATGTCAATAGGTCAGTTCAAGGTCACACAAAGGTCGCTATTATTTGGAATCCGTTTTGCTCTGTAGAAAATCACATCACCAAAAAGCCTGACTGAAATACGCCTTTATAAATCAGTTCCGAGGGAGTAGGAAGATCGCAGGCCGGTAGATCGAAATGCACAGAAAGAATGCAACTCTTTGCGGTGACATCAACCAATGTGGTCTCTACGGGGAGTGTTGCTTGGATTAGCAAAATGCATCTGACAATTAGAAGCGGTTGTGTTAGCAGAAACCTGTTTCAATGCTGATGTGAGTGACGAAATTTGTTATGGAACGACCATTCCGAAAAGTTCGGTGACAGACAGTGCATTATCGTCAGGTAATATTTGAGGATATATCAGTGTTCGGTCTAGACTCCACACGAAATCCTATCGTCTAACAAAGGAGGTATAAATATTAGGTGGTGGCATAGAGTGCGCGAGCGAGTTTGTCACACTGCTCATCTGCCCCTCGTGGTCTGATTTCATTGCTCAGATGTATCAATCGGGGTTGGAATCTTCTTAGAGGTTCGTGAGGTGTACACTGCTAAGACAGCCGCATATTGTTTTTGCTCCCTTCAACACTGAATTGCGTCAACAGCTGGGTCAGTTAAAAACCATTCAAGGACCCGGAGCCTTGCATAACCGAAACCAAGATGACACCTAACCGTACGTCACTCTTTCGACCCCAGTAACTCGTCTGAGAAGAATTTGCCGATCCGCTTGAGACCACCAGTCTTGTGGGCTCAATACTTTCTGACTCAAAACACATTCCACCATGGTCCTTATTTCTGCCCATTTGCTTTTGGTTTCTTCGTGTTTTCCGCGTCGTACACAAAGTGTTACAAGACTGTTGGTCTGTTCCAACTTTACGACTGAAGTTTGCTCGATCCCTGGGTCCTGATTTATTGGCATATGATCAGTCCAAAGGTGGAAAAACAAAAGAATTGACAAAATTGAAATGAATTTCCCCGGGTTCGACAGAACAAAGTTCGGTTTATGTCTTCCAGACACACACCATTTCAGCATTGGTTGTGATGCGTACATGTGTCAATCCTAGTAAAATGATCTTTCTGTGACCTATAGCAAGTGCAGTTTCGAAGTAATTCTGAACGGAACTCGACAGTATTGTTCCAACAATTCTAGCCATCACGCTCATCAATTCATAGACGTGAGCATCTTATGTCCGTTTGCCAGAAATGAACTTTAAAAGTACTTTTACGTGGTGCGTTTATTTCTCGGGTTTGAATGAGTTTTTTCTCAATAATTTGGTAAACCTCCCAAGTTCGTTGAAAATTCACGAACATCTGACTTGTCACTAATGACTTCGAGTTGACTGAGGTCTCAAATGGTTTTTAGGTTCAACGGGGATGAATGGTCAACAACAACGGTCAGATGTAGTTGGGCCTAGGAGACTTTATCACTACATGACTGAATAACTTCCGTATGAAGGGCTAAATTATCTCCAGAAAAATGAGTTAATCACAGGTGAAAGTAGAAATATTTTGACTAGTTTGGATCATTGAACACCATGGCTTGATTCGAACGGAACTTGTTACAAACCAAAGCATAGTGCAAGATTGAAGCCATTGCCTTATCCAAAAACCATAAGGAATGCGAACTGGGATTTCATCCAGTAAATCGAATTCAATCGAAGCTAAATACCCGGGAGATGAACAACACTATGCATGCTAGGGAGATTAGATCGCACCGCTTCCGGTTAGGAGCCACAGTTCAGTTTGGAAAGACTAATCACAACCATGGTCCACCTGCACCTCGACGGGAATGGGCGTCACCCATTGTGAAGCATAGGCTACACATCGCTCGGTTACTGGCAGTGGATTCACGTAGGAGAAGTCGTATAGCTGCCAAAAATCCAATCGATCATTGTATGGAAACGAGAGCCAGATTGCATTTGTGCGTGTTTGAATACCTACTTGCAGGTCAAATTCCATGCAGATTAACCTGGACCGATCGAGCAATCTTCAAAGTAGACCCACAGCGCTCGAGTTGGCTGTAGATAAGCTTACGATCTTCGCGGTTTTTATCAAACAATGCTATAGTTTGCATTGTGCTGCTCTGCTGTTCGGTTCCAAAAATATCGCGAGACGTGCACCAATACCTACCACTCTAAGTGAAAAACATGCGTGAACTTGTTGCTAGGGCGAGCGGCCTTAGCGACCGTGCCGAATCGAAGTAGATGAACGATAAAAAAACCACGTTACAGTAGGTCAAACATGATTCAGTCACACATTTGGCTACCATACCTAAGCCGTAATCATATATTGAAATGACTCAGAACAGATGAAAAACAAGCCTATCATAACGACCGCATAATTTAGCATCAAGGTCACTCAGACTGCATGTTACGAGTGGCTTCAGATAAATCACATATCAGTTCTGTTTTGAAAACGTTGCCTGAAGCGAAGATGTTGATTCATACTTGATGCTACAAAGCCAGTTATGTAAAACAGTGCTGCTTGAATGAAATCAGCAAACGAAAGTGGACAAGAGATATTACAGGCACAATAAGTACGGAAAGCAGGCGTTAGGACGGTACACAGAATCTGTTAAAATAGATGGGATGGTCACCTGTCTGAATTAGTCTGATAGATGTGATCAAACGAAAAAATCACTCTAAAATACTACTTGTAAGGTTGCTGGAAATCCGTTTTTAGCAATCTTATGAGTAGTCCACATCACGAAGATGTACATGTATCGCGATATCTCGAATATCGTGGCGACTGAAACATGAGGCGGTCTGGTGCAGAACATTCTCCTGCCTCAAAAAACATCACAAACGAGAGATTCAGCTGGGTTCCAGGTGAGTCTCTCGAAAAACCAGACTAGTTTGCAAATGAGTGTATATTTACTAAATCGCTCTAACGTTTTTGGGTCAAACTTGGTCAAATTCAGTGAATCCAAGCTCCTGGAAAATGAAACATTCTCACTGATCACTAAATAAAGGAATAAGGTTTGCGGTTGTAGGTTGAAAACTATATATGCCTTTTTCAGTCCAAATAGCCCCCAACAAATGCATCAACCAAACATTTAATTTAAGCTGCTTGTAAAGCCTATAGACGCTATAATGATGCGATATTCGCATACACCGTGTTATGACCTTGAGACTGAACCCTGTTCATGTCATCAGTACTACAGCGTAATTTCTCGTATTGTGATTATTACAACCAAGGCAGATTTATTTCCACAGTTAAACTATCATTCTGCCCATTGGGTAGACTAAATCTCCACTGCCACCCTAAAGCTAGCTTCTTGCTCAGAAGCTTTTCACTTCGTGCTCACCTAAAGGTTGCTTGAGCAATCCCCGGTTGTCCGGTGGCTATCATTGATTTCCTCCAAATCGGAGCGGATGCATAGTCACAGAAGTAAAAATAAAGACGATTTGGTACTATCAGTGTTCTAGTAGCCAAATGCTCGCACAGATTTGCATGTTCCGAGCGGGTGAGTTGGGAACGATCATATGCCTAAATGTCATGCCACCCGAAGGAAGCACGTGGGCTGGGATACTGTCAGGTTGCCCAAGCCTAGACAGGGGAAATCGAGAGGCAGAGGTCTGGTTCGAACCATGGACCTTCCGGTCAGTAAATTCGCGTTCTAACCACTTGGGCCATTTGGGGAACGATCAAGTTTGGAACAAAGGCCAACCTAGTGAGAAAGCGAGTGATCGTATCATCCTTATCTTTGCAGTATCCATTCACCCTACGTCTTCTGGGCCGATATTTTAGGTCCAACGTATCATTTTAAGTGGGTTAGCGGAATCAGAGAAGACAAATGATGACTCCTTGGCTGTCGATCCGGTGACCCCCAAGCTGACGGACGAGCTTGGTGATTGACTTACATGAGTTCCAACACCATACAATAAATCATCATCAGTACGTTGTTCCATGGAAAGTCCGGTGAATACTTTGGAACAACATACTTAGATGGTAGGCTACCAGTGGTATTATAAAGGAGAACTCGACCTTGAAGGTTATAAACTCATGCAAGAGTGACACGACTGAGAAGCAGTGAAGATTTCATAACACCTCATCAGAAAATTCGACTATGCTGTCCAGACTCGCAAAGACGTTGGTGCAGAAATTTAAACAGGATCTCTTCTACTATCGTGTCATTTCAGGGGCCCTTAAACATGACAGTAAATAACCAAGAATCAATGTTTTCGAGAAATACACTCATTTGCAAATCCCTTTGGTTTTCACGAGAGACTCAACTGCATCTCTCGTTTATGATTTGCAAATGAGTGTATTTCTCGAAAACAGTCCAATTCGGGTTCAAGTGGAACATAAGATGGACGGAAACTCGGGGACTGCGCCTACCTGATGAGCCCGGACTGGAAGGGCAAAACCGGTCTTGGGCTGTCGGCGGATTTTCAGCAACCTTGTGAGTAGTTTCCTTTATGAAAAGAATAAACATTATTCAGTGCTGATGCAAATGGCTTGTTTGGACGTGAAATTGCCAGTGAACTTGCTTGGACATTCATTTGACTAATACCCAAACATACTTGCAAACTGGCCCCAATAAGCTAGTGGATGAACAGCTGGATTTGTTATAGTCGTACCATCAATGGAAGAGTCGAGACACAATCGGCCACAAAGAGGTAAAAGTACGACTTGGAGAGTCAGCCACAGCCGGTTGCTTCGAATGGTTGGTCATAGGTGCCTTTTGTAGAAGGGTTTGAGTACTAATTACTAGTAGATGCGACTCTCGTGATGTGTTCCAGTATGAGTTCGGCTGTATCCTACACAATCAACTGATTTCTACGGTTCTGAAGAAAATGTTCTCTGGACAACAGTACTAGTTCTAAAGTGAAAGCTGCATACTGTTTCTAATCTTTGTGCACGAGCAAGTAAAACGCACCAAAAAGTATTGAAAGTCATTGGGTGCCGGAAGCGAACTCTCACACTGATGTGTGGGCCTTCTTGATATGTGCGAAGGCCCAGGATACCGGCGAAAGGAAGAAGGCCACAGCTGCGGAGTCATCGGTTGGGAAACACCAGCTGGACAGTTACAGACTATTGGACAGGTAAGCAAAACTCTCATATACATCTTGTTTATGAAAACTGAGTATCCGCCTTCTCCTCGAACACGTCCTCCTGAACTGTCCTGGATACTCATTAACTATCACTCAAGTGTAAATGAATACTACAAAGCGATTCCACAAATTCCGTAATAAATCTCACTTTCCAATAGACGCGAAGCGGATTAGTGAAGAAACCACATACTACTCGCATACCTCTTCAGTAGAATCCATCATTGCACCGGTAAACCACTACCACGTTGAGAAAATATTTTATTCTTTTGATTAGCGCACGTACTAGTTTCAGTGATGCTTATCTGTAGTCTTCGCTGACTGGAATTCTTGGTGTACATTTGTGTAGTTCTCAGCATATTTCGACACTTTATGCGAAATTATATATACATATAT